TTTAAAATTGTTTTACTCTATAGAAACGCGTTTTGAAAGAACAAACATAAACAAAGCAAACACGGGGTTCCAGATAGCTTTGTGATCTTTGAGGTAGTAAAAAATAATTGAATGTGCAGTATAAGTTAAAACAGAACAGTCTACAGTTTTATTTGTAATAATGGTTAATGCTAAAGTCATGCGAGAAAATCATTTTCCGAACATTTCTGCCTAACGGAATAATTAAAATTTGTAAACGAATTTCAGTATCAGCGGCTAAATTAATACCTTCGATTTTTCAATAGTTATAATAGTAATTATAATAGTTTTCAATAGCACAAATAGTTCTGAAGCTCTTAGAGATTTGACTGGGCGTTGTTTGACAAGGTCGGGCATAAACANACATAATTTTAGTAAAAAATGTACTAGGTAAAAATGTATTTAGTAAAAAATTTGTTAAGACAAAAATTTAATATTAGTGAGTTCAAAAAGAAAATTGAAAAACGTAATAACGAAATCCAACATTTTTTATTTAAAATATATTGAATAAATGCATAAAACTCGAAAATGAATGAAAATAACTTTCTAATTAATATTTTTATTCATTTTGCAAAATAATTGCATCTCGAAAGTGGTGTCACTGAATCTGCAGCGAGAATTTCTCAGAACGTGCTTAGCACCTGAATAAGCGCTCCACGGGAGCACTAGAAGGTACTGCAGTATTATATTTCACATATAATTTTTTTACGATTGGATATCGATTGGATTTTTTCTCGAAAGCTTACCGAGTTTTAGAAAAAAGTAACGATTTCATTCGACATTTCCGTTACAAATACTTCTACTTTTTCCCTAAAAAAGTAACGAAAGTACAAGTAAAAGTACTAAATTTAAAAAGTAACGAAGTACAAGTAAAAGTACGTACTTTTTACTTGTACCGGCGGTACAAGTAACGAAAGTAAAAGTACTGCCATAGATGATAAGTACTCTACGTATGTAACTCTATATGTTCGAAATGTATAAAAACATTATTTTTTTCAGAATGTCCTGTATGCAAAAACAACTGATATTTACTAATAAAGGAAGATTACAGTTTGTGTCAAAGGAATTACGGTATATTTTAATAAACTAAGTGTGTGCAGAAAGAAAAAGTAACAATTGTTGTATTCATCCATATACCTCAAATGCAAAAGTATCGACTTCTTCTCTGATGTCTTCTTCTGTAAGTTCTTTTGTTTCGATGTGGTGCTGCAGCAATAGATCCATTAAAGGTTTCCTCTTCTTATCTCTTCCTTCAATTTCACCGCTCAACATATCCTTCTTTCTTTCTTGAATAACCTAATGGATAAGGGAAATCTCAGATAAATCACTGCAATTCAAGTAACTGCTAAATATTATTGACACGAGTAGTGTATCTACCACTACAAAAATGTAATTCCAATTCACTAGTATATAAAGCATGTTGACTCGATTCTATGGTGGAATGCCTATTCATAGATGAAGGTTGACAGTGCCTATAACTACTCTCCCCACAACACGTAATGCTTTTATGTAAAAACATAATAAGAAAGAAACAGAAAAAGGAATTAAGGAATAGAATGTAAGAAATAAAGAATAGAAGGAAAAATTGAAAGAAAGAGAGAATCGAAAGAAAAATTTTAAAGAAATAAAAACTGAAAGAAAGAAACAAAGAATAAAAAGAAGAAATAGTTAAAAAAAAAAAAGAAAATACAACAATAAAGTAACATTGTTATTAACCAACAGTAAGAAATATGTCATTTGATATATTTAGATGGACTAATGAGCATTTTCTTCCAAAGGGGAATAATTTCATGTCATTTCTCAATAATATGAAAAATATATTTTTTAGAATTGTCTAATCTAATACATATCTGCATCATACATTGCTATATTCTAAATATAATCATTGACATTTCTTAGCAGTAACAATTCTTAAATTTTTTTTTTCTTCAGTCCAATAGCATAATAACTGAGCAATTTGAATCTTGTTCAATTTTGCTAAAACAACACTGGTATGATTGTTCCGCAATTATTCCAGTGTTGTCTTATGTCTAACTGCAGCAACGGTTTCATTGGTATTAGTCCAACAACAGAAACTGACAATTCTAAAACCATTTTTTTTTTGTCAAACAGCAGTTGGTATCCTAAAGAATTTTCTTATGATGTCATTGATATTAGAAAAACATTATAACGTTATTCACTGTCCACAGCAGAAACTTATGCAAAACTTGTTTGCTATGGATATTATTTTTATGAATATTCTCACCACTACAGCTCTCCACAGTTTCTTTCATTCTTAATTTGTTTCAATAACAAATGTAAAAAGAAATAATCTCTCACTGATGATGCTTTCATCTTATTAGTTTTATTACTCTGATAGTATTTTTAAATATAACAATCAGAATTAGCAAATGTTGTAGTTGTTACTTCCAATTATTAATATACTCGTTATTTGTAATTAAATGCAAAAGACTTTGAATAAAATGGTGCTTTGATCAAAATTTCTTTAGATATATTATCCAGTCATATATAATATCTAAATAATATCGAAATAATTTACATTCTGTACACAAAATGAAAGGGTCTACGAAAACTGTATGAGGTTCTATAAGTCCCGATTTAAAATACAGGAAAAAATTATATTAAAATATCAGCGCATTTGCTTTAAATAATTAAGATAAATAATTACATAGCTATTTTAACTGTTATTTGAGCAACTCGATGACGCAGTCGGTTGAGGCGTCGCTCACACTGCCCGGTTTGAGAGCTGGGGTAATGAGTTCGATCCTGGCAGCTGACAAATAAATCTGTAAGTATACGCAGTTAGATGCACATTAAATCTGTCGTAGTTGAAAGTTTCTTCGTTGATAGTGGCGCGGAAGTTTTATAAAAGGGGTACCAGCTCAATGCTTTCCACGTCGTCTGACCCGGATCAAAACTACGTGGCATATTTACTATGGCCGTTAAAATATTGAGTCCTAAAATTGGGACTGGGTACTTGGCAATGGTAAGGTGATTTGTTTATTTATTTTATCCCTTTTTTATAGCATAATAATTGAACAGAATGAAATAATAATTCACTGTAAATACATTATTTTCAATAAGAAAATATTTTAATTTACTATTTTCAACATTTTTTTATTTGACATTCCTCCTTAGCTTTTGCCAAGAAATGATTATAATACGAAAGAGATTGTATAAATAAAATGTGCACAGATTTTTAAAATCTCGATTGCCCAAAAGACAAATTTAATAAAAAAAATCCACATTAAAAGAAATTTTTTATGAATCACTTCAGTAATCCTTATGCTCGAAATTCATTCAAAAATAAAAGCATTAAAAAGCATTGATAATATTTGTTTTTAAGTCATGATTACTACTTTCTATTGATAACTTACAGACATAGTGAACCTATGTAATAAAGTCAGATCTTTCCTGATACTTCTTCCTTTGGTCAAGAAAAATGTAAAATCATACCAGCTAATAACGTTTGTTATTCTTTTGGTTAATTCATCAGACACACTAGAAGAGTTGAAAGATTTCAAATATAATTCTGTCATCACTGAGGTAGGAGACATATATGCTGAATATAAGTAAACATGTTACAAGTAGGATTAAGTACAGAGGATAATTTTAATGTATGAAAAGCTCATATATATTTTTAAAAAAATTACTTTTTCTAATCAATTTCTAAAGCGCTTAAAAAGGTCATTGTTTTCTTACCGTTTTACGCATAGTCATTTGACAGAAAAATATAAAAATTATTAATAAGCAAAAAAAAAAATCTAAATATCTTTAGCTGCCATTAGCATAAAATTCATAAGAATTGTCGCGATATTTACAGGTAAATTGATTATTTGTTATTCAGGTGTATTTATCATCAATTTTTTCGATTATTTTCTGTTTTTAATACATTTTTAATTTTGATTATATAAAATTGTTTTCTTCTTAATTTTATTTTTAGTTATTCAAAATTAAATGCTTAAAAATGAAATTGTTTGTTCTAACATAGCTAACATAAAATAAAGTGGTCGCATAATATTATTATTAAATGTAAGAAATTTTATTACAAAAATATTTGGTAAACGTTTAATATAAATTGTTGAGGCATACTTTAATAATTATACGTACTTTTATAAAGTTAATTAATACAAAATAACTACTTAGAATAGCTATAAGACTTTTCTTTTCTCGCTATCGCTGCGCAATCTCTTTAGCGAAAAGTATTTAACGTGCGTTTTTAGTTACCAAAAATTGGATGAGAATCAAAAAATAAAATTTTGAGGATGATTTTTAAATTTTTACTCAGAAAAATTATGGTGTAAATTATATCTCAATTGTATCAGGAAATAAATCTGGGGTTCCATATATGCTCTAAAATTTGTTCTAAATAAGTTCTCTCAAGTTTTTAGGACATATTATGTGAATAATTTTTAATTTCAGCCTTGCATTTTGTGGTCAAGCAGCCGAAAATATTCCGAGTCGCAGAAATTGGTCACTGAAGCTGAAGACAGAGCCCCCTATATTTTGTATGTGGAGTAAAATGATACATTATTATGCATTATATGCAAAGAGACGAAAACAAATAGTTAAAAATATTTGTAATTTTATTTTTTTGGATCAATTTATGTTAGATTTTAAAGTTCAGTTAACTATTTTTTAAAAGAACTAAAATCACAACAGTTATTTTCCTTATTTAAGCAACTAATTTTATTTGGGTAAAAATATTCAGACCTTTACTTTTTTACTTTAAACAATCGTGTTTATTCAAATATAAACGCAGGAGAATTCTGCATTCTTTTATTCCAAAAGATTTTTTCTTTAAAAATTACATTAAAATTTCTTTAGACTTGCAGACTACTACTGCAAATTAATCTACCACAAAGGACCTGTCCTTAAGTACCTTGTTTGTTTATCCCCTTAACGATCGGTTAATTTCCAAGAAAAAGGTCATAAAAGTGTATATTTTTTATCCCTGATTAGTGCTGACATCTAGTTTAAAATAAACTAACTATCCACAATTACCTTAAAAATATACTGGTACTACCATCTGGTGTGTAAAATGAGAAATAAAATGTTTTCCGGGCAAAAGAAATGAATTAGTTTTATTCTTATTGGCGCGTTACAACTGAACCCTCCAGTCCGGAAATATCACGGGAGCGAGAAATAGAGGGCGAAACCTCACTCCGTCATATTCACGGGAGCGAGAAGAAAAGGGTTATAAAACCATGTTTAAATGTAAACATTATCTTTATTAACATAAGGAAAAATTAAAAACTTACTTTTTAACTGCCTGGACATACTCTGAATCTTTATTTTCTTGGCAATTTAAGTTAATACCAAGTGTTGTTTCTGAAACATAAAAAGTAAAATAAGATTTTTAAAAAAAATAGATAATTTCAGATGTATGTCATCTTGTTTATCATTAAAGCAGCACTAACCAGCAGTAATAATTTTAATAATAATGTTACGCCATTTATCTTTTTAGGTCATGAAAATTTGTTGCAAACGTTAGCAGATATAATCGGGTCTGGTTCATTTCATCGACAATC